GAGGCGAAGAGAGACAAAAGAGCAGAAGCAAATGAGTTAGGGTTTCGGCGCCGCGGCCGGCCGGGGGGTTTTGTTCTCCAGAAGAAGACGCCTGGCCATCAGATTTGGATAAACGGATGAGAGCGACTGGACTGAAATCGGCCTAGGCGGGCGAGCGCGGCGAGCAACATTGCCGGCCCAGGCCCAGGTTGCGGCCTGGGCGCGGGGGAGGTGCCGCAAGCGCGCGCACGCGGGCTGCGGCTGCAGGCCAGGCCGTGCACTGTTGCTGCTAGGCCGGTTACTATTGCTACAGGCCGGGCCATAATGAATAGTAAATAAAGTTTGAAGTTTATTTAATTTTCAGAAGCTGGTTTCGATATATTTTGTCTAATTTAATATCTCTGTTAAAATTTGAACCAACGGGATAATTTTTTCAGAGAATAGTTGAGAAAAGTTTAATGCTTCTGAAAAATAGATAATGAATTTTTTCATGTTTCCGCTGCAATGTTAAAGTTAATAATCTTCTAATTAAATTCGAACCAAGAAGAATTTAATTTGAAGAGTAGTCAATTTTAATCAGTAAATTATAATATTGTTATGTTTCTGATCAACGTTGATAATAACAATGTTATAATGTTTATTCATAAGTTTTCCATGCATTAATTCTATTTCTGTCCAACGGTGATGTAGAATTAGTGTATAAGAATATTGTATGTTTTAATTTTGACCAACATTAAATTAAAGCATGCAATTATAATGTCATAATTTTCTCACTATCTCTGACGGTGTTTTTCAGGACTCAACCCAATGGCATTCATCTCGCACATACCACCTCTAGAAAGGGACAATTACAGAGTATGGCGAGAGAAGTATGAGCTCGTACTTGCGCTGTCCGAGAATGACTTAGCACTCACCTCCCCATGTCCTACTGAGCCAGTGGACCCGAAGAGGGAAGAAAACGAGTCTGTTGCTGATTTCACTGCTCGGCAACGAGATCATGCAGAAGTGCGCATGAAGTATGATCTCGAGCGCAAGAAATGGAACACATCAAACCACGAGTGCTTGATGGTGTCTAAGTCCACAATCTCAGATGCTATAAGGAGATCTATCCCATACTGTGATACCACCACAGAGTACCTAAAGAAGGTGGAGAGTCAGTTCACTGGCTCTTCAAAGGCTTATGCTAGTATATTGATCAAGAAATTATTCAATGAAAAATATACTGGTGGCAGTATCAGAGAGCACATTTTGAAGATGAGCAACATGGCTTCGAAGCTGAAGCCAATAAATTTGGGGCTCAAGGTTGAGTTCCTAATTCATTTGGTTTTTGCTTCCTTGCCAAAAGAATATAAAATATTTGTTGTTAACTACAATATGCAGCCTGACAAGTGGGACATAGAGAATCTCATCGCAATGTGTGTTCAAGAAGAAAAAAGGCTGAAGTCCTTACAGGTTGACTCTGCTAACCTTGTGAAGGACAAGAAAAAGAACTTCAATAAGAATGACAAACCTCAAGGGAAAGCCTCTCAGACTGAGCACCATCAGAAGAACAACAATGCTCAAGTTGAAAAAGATCAGTGCAAATGGTGCAAGAAGCATGGACACTACCAGAGGGACTGTCTAGACTTCCTGAAGAACCTTCTAAAGAGAGGTGAGGATTTTATTACATTCATAGATGAATCCCTGTATTTAAGTTATGCAAAATTTACTTGGTGGATTGATTTAGGTGCAACTGTTCATATTGCAAATTCATTATAGGGATTCCGTACGAGGACCCTGCAAAGAGGAGAAAGAAGAATTAAAGTAACAAATGGAGTTGAAGCTCAAGTTGGAGCCGTTGGAGATCTTTCTCTAGAATTAGTTGATGGTTTTCTACTTAAGCTTTCAAATGTTCTATTTGTACCCTCTTTGCGAAGAAACATAATAAGTGTTTCACGTTTAGACGACGATGGATATGATTGCCATTTTGATAATGACAAATGTCAGATTGTTTATAATAATAAATGTGTTGGTCTTGCCTTCTAACAAGATAAGCTTTATTTATTATTACTTTCTGAGAATGTGAATGATGTAAGTACTGAGAATGAGAATGCTTCCTTATCTATGAATGCAACAAATAAGCGGAAGAGAGTGCATGATGTATCTTCAAAATTATGGCACTGTCGTTTAGGCTATATTTCGAGAGGGAGAATAGAGCGATTGATTAAGAAATCCATTCTTCCGCCTTTAGAATTTTTATATTTAGAACAATGTATAGATTGCATAAAAGGATAGTATGTTAAGAAAAGAAAGAAAGATGTCAAACGAAGCGCATGAATTTTAGAAATAATCTACACAGACATCTATGGTTATTTTCCTGTGAAGAGTGTGGATGGTTATGATTCATTTATAACATTCACAGATGACTATTCTCGTTTTGGCTATATTTATCCAATTAAAGAAAGATCAGAAGCATTGGATAAATTTAAAATATTCAAGGCTGAAGTAGAGAATCAGCACAACTTAAAGATTAAGGTAGTAAGGTTCGACCGTGGAGGAGAGTACTATGGTGGACACACCTCATATGGCTAGGTTACTGGACCATTTGCAAGGTATTTACAGGAAAAATGGCATAGTAGCCCAGTATTCTACACCGAGGGAGCCTCAGCAGAATGGAGTAGCTAAAAAACACAACCGTACATTAATGAATATGGTGAGAAGCATGATAAGATACTCTACCTTACCGATAAGTTTATGGATGGAGGCGTTAAAAACCACCATTCATATTCTTATTCGAGTGCCAAGTAAGTCAGTGCCCAAAACACTGTATGAGTTGTGGACATGAAAGGAACCCTCACTAAACTATTTACGTGTGTGGGGCTATCTAGCTGAGCCAAAAGTATTTAACCCAAACATAGGGAAGCTGGACTCCAAGACAGTCAGCTGCCATTTTATTGGCTATCCAGAAAAGTCAAAAGGTTATCGCTTGTATTGTCCTGACAGACAAACAAAATTTGTAGAAACAAGACATACAGTCTTCTTGGAGGATAATATGATTAGGGGGAGCATGGTAGCGCGAGAAATAAGTTTTGAAGAGAAGCGGGTATATATACCCACTCCTATGGTTCAGGAGCCATTCTTCACACTACCTGTTGTTGTTGTACCAACAGTGCAAGATACTGTAGTAACAACACCTGTTGTTAGTTCCCCTATGGCAACAATGAATGAACATGAGGAACCTATCTTTTAGGATCCTCAAGAACCCGTTGTCACACATGAGGAAGAGCAACAACAGCCTCATATAGAACAAGCGTCATCTAACGAGGCCCCTAGAAGATCTCAAAGAGTCAGGAGATTAGCCATTCCTTATGATTATGAAGTTTATGAAAATGAGGAATTTTAAATGGAGGGTGATCCCACCTGAATAATACTTGAAAAGCCATTGCAAACATATATAGCATCCAGATTTACTTTTGCAACATCCAGATGAAACACTTACAACGTACGTATGAAGCACCTGAACACTTAAAAACATACGCTTGCAACATGCATGTTATGCAACATCCAGATCAAACACTTGAAATATACGTTTGAAACACTTGAAATATATGCTTGCAACATGAAACATACGCTTACAACATGCGCATATAACCATTGCAACAAACACAACATCCAGATGAAACAATTTAAAATATACGTATAAAGCACTTGAAACACACGACATCATCGACAGCCACAGCCCACCTGGTGGGGAACTGCGGTAGGCAGCAAGCGACACTCGGGTGTAGTGGAGAGAGAGGATGGCGGCAGGCGGGCAGCTGAGCACGGTGGAGTTATCCCTAGATAAAGTCTGGACAGTAGTGTGATTAAATTTGAAGTCCCAATCTATTATGACTAAAATTCTGTCGAGTTTTTAAAGGTCTGAACTGGTGAGTTATTTGCCCTGGTAATTTGTTTCTCTGTGAGATTCAATTCTCCTAGGCTGATGGCATCAATAATAGCATTAAACAAGAAAGACCATGTATCATTATAATTTGAATTGGTCTTTTCAGGTGGGCCACTTATATGTTAAAATCGCCACCCATTACAATAGGTAAGGTTTCTTTAGCACATAAGTGAGCCATGTCATTGAGAAACACCTCTTTGTAGTCATCTTGATAGAGAGTGGCTGAAGCTACCACCACTACCAGCGCGTTTCTACTGCCTCAGTAGCCATTCTGAGCGACTACGTCAATCTCGCCTCTGATTGAGGTCGATCCGTCTGCGCTCTGCAGTTTTGTCAAGTATCCCCTCAAGCTCAGCTAGAGTTCAGTTCGCCGCGTTGGGGCGTTCGTCTTCTGTGCTGCTCCCTAGTCAGGTTAGATCCTTTTATCTTGCACCTATATGCTCCATCAGCATGCAGCATGTGCTTCCCCAGTACAAACCTCCGCCCAAGTTCACAAGCTCTAGCATGCGGCTGGCTACTTTAATCTCTCCTCTAATTGAGCTCGATCAATTTGTCCTCCAGTTCAGGCCCCTCTAGTGTTGCTGCCTTGGCTTTGACAATTCGTCTATGGCAATCGCAATTCGAGACTCATCGCATCTCTAGTGTTGCTGCCTGGTAAAATTTCGTCTGGTCCTTTGACAAACGAGTCCATTAGTGAAGGTTAGGCACCTTAATCAATAGGAGTCGGTCGGTGACAGGGGGCAGGTGAGAGGCATTCGTACTTGAGAGGCATTCGTGCCTGCGCATCTGGGTTGACTCTGCGGTGCTACTCCGGGGTCAGGATCAATCTGTCATCCATCATCGCCTTTATGCTGTGCTTTTAAGCTCTACTAATGTGCCGCTGCCTTTTCTTCCGTATTTCATTCCGCAGTCGTTGTAGCTTTGGTTGAGTGTTCATGCCTGCCAGCTAGTACGACAGGAAAGAAAAGGAGACCAATCATACTAGTCTTCTGTAGTTCTGTTTGTAGCTGATTAATAGCATATATATGTTCCAATTTGCTCACTGAAGGGGCATCCCCAACAAGACAGATAGCAAGGGCAGCAACAGGACACGACAATGGAACCAGAGGAGCTAACATTTCAAGAGATAAAAGAAATTACAGATGGTTTCGCACAGGAACTTGGTCATGGATCATTTGGAGTCGTTTACAAGGTAAGTATTTTATTTTATTTTTTGCCGTGCTTGGTTTTCATAAGTAAATCTTTTGTCAATACAAGTCTCGTCAACACCGATGTTGCTACAAAGTATGCGACAAGCTTAACATGAAATTTGTTGCAGCACCTTGTTTGTGATAACTGTAAAAGAAATCCAACGCATGCTATTTTTCTGTTTATCAGATATAATATAATAATAAATACTATGTGACGAAAATGTCAGATTTCTTTGAGTAAAATCATATGTTCAACAGGGATTGACTAAAACTGGAAAGGATGTTGCTGTGAAGGTGCTTCTTAATGACATAAATATTGACTACAAGCAGTTCCATAATGAGTTTAATAGCCTCGCGATGCTTCAGCACCCAAACATCGTACAGCTTCTAGGCTATTGCTATGAAACAGAGCGAAAACCAATGAAGTACAATGGAAGACAACGGATTGTTGAAGAGACACATAGAGTGCTCTGCCTCGAGTATTTGCACAATGGGAGCCTTCGAAAGTATCTATCCGGTATCCTTCTTCACCATCTGCCGTATCTCCTGTATATATGTATTTGGTTTGATATATATAATCCCTTTGTTTATTACACAGATGAGGTTACTGGACTTGACTGGAATACCCGGTACAAAGTTATCAAAGGGACTTGTGAGGGTTTAAAGTATATTCATGAGGAACTGGAACAATCCATTTACCACTTGGACCTAAAACCTGACAACATACTACTAGACAAAGATATGGAGCCAAAGATTGCAGATTTTGGTTTGTCCAAGATATTTGGTGACGAACTAAAACGGACCACACGAAGTCCTCTAGGAACTCTGTAAGTTGAATATATATGTCTTGTGAACAAAATTTCAAGTCCATCAAAATGATGAATTACAAATTAGTAGTATTTAATACAATGCAGTGGTTACCAGCCACCAGAGTACATCGACAAAGGTGAAATCTCAAAAAAGTTTGACATATTCAGCTTGGGTGTCATAATGATAATGATAGTGTCAGGACCTGACTCCAAATATGAAGACATGTCCAATGACAAAATTATTGATATACTGAGAACTCGTACTTCTCTTTAAGAATATCAAAATTAGTTTTTACTATGTGGCATTTACATTTGAATAGTATCTACCAAGCTTGACAATTCAGTTTTTCAGGTAAGAAACTGGAGGAATAGGTTGAAAGCAACGTGGAGTGGTTCCTCACTTGAAGCATATTGCCACCAAGTAGAGACATGCACTAAAATAGCACTGAACTGCATGCAACAAGATAGCCAGAAAAGGCCCAATGTTCTACAGATCATCGATGAGTTGAATAAGATTGAAACTGCCATTGGCAAGGTATCCAAAATCATTATTTTGTTTCGAGTGAAATGTTTCTTTATAAATACGTACATTGGAATGTTATGTCAGTAAATCATTTTAATTGATTTGGAATTATGTAGTCCCTTCAGTTAGAAATATTTTTCCAGTTTGTTAGGGATTGTAGTTCAGCAATATTGATCCTTCAGAATTCAAGGGCACAGCATTAAATTGCAATTTTCTGTCTCTAAACCGGATCTTGATGATGTGAAACATATTGTCTGATACGGAGGAAGAGCAAACCTACTAGTACATGGATTTTCTTTTCCTTGAAATTGAAATAAAGCGATGTTATTCAAATTTCCATACTTAAAACTGACAGTAGGCACATGAAGCACTAATACAAGTGCTCCTGTTTGAACAATCAACAGTGTGCTGCTCTATCATCTTCTATGTTACATTTCTGTCATTGGCCAAATTGGTATACAGATTAGCTACTGCTTAGGTGAACAAAAAAACTATGTTTTGTTTGCTATGTACAACACAACTCCCTCCAACGCGAAAGTTAAATTATTTTATTATTTTGTTATTCATGTTAGTGAAACTTTGTTAGCATTGAAATCCAATGTACAAGGAACTACATAGATTAATATTGATTCTAATCTTCATCATGAAAAGTTGTCATAGATGTATATTCATTTGTATCTGATTTAACATTATTTCGGAGAACCTATAGTTGAAGTGTCACCTTGGAAACTATTTATTGCCATAACATTTTATGTTATGTGTTTCACCCCCATTTGCAATAAGGAATAATGGAACTAAATGAGTTCATTTAATAGAACAAGAATGGAGAAAAAATAGAGGGCGGTCACAAAGAAAACCTTTTCACGCAGGTTAAGAAAAACCACCGAACCCTTGCTCCATCCATACACAGCGGCACCGTAGCCCATGTGAGCGACCTGGGCCAGGCCTTAGACTTGTGCTTTGGCATGGGATAGACAATGAGATTTTTTTAACCTTAGCCCAAAATTCGCTCCCACTAGGATTCGAACTCAGGACCACCTAACTGACTCAGCTAGGCACCCTTTCGCAAAAACTAAAGAAGGAAAGACTGAAGTTAAACTTCAATTCTATTCCAAAATTTCTAGCCGAACTTTGCAAAGACTACCATGATGACTGTTTCAAGCAATATGCATCCATCCTTGAGACTCGCTCTTGCACTTTCCTTATGTAGCAGTGAGCATTGACGGTTATATGTTGCCTTGAAGATGACATGCAAAAAGGTGTTAAGTTTAGCCTTATTGAACGCCAAATCATTTGTTTTCAACCATAAGGGCCAACTAAAGCATCAACACCAACTAAAATTTGATTTTATTCCAAAAAAAGTAAAATTTGATTTCTAAGTTTTGGTGGAATGCGAAACAACCAAGAATCAAACAAATGCGACATGCTAGAGGGAGGATGAATTCCAAAAGTGATATGTACGTTATTCTAAATGAATCTAGCAAAATAAAAAATGTCTAGTATGTTGACCAATATGGCAATCTTGTAGGTTCCCCAGAAAGAATGTAGCAAAACTGTTCCTTGGATGACAACGCAAGATCAGATGAAGATGAGAAAGCAGTTAAGGCAGATGGCAGATCAACACCAGCATTTCAACTTGTTGACAAGCGATAGGTACAATGATCTTGAATCGGTTGATATACACAAAAAATCATCAGATGTAGCAGAAGATTTTATTATAGGGAGGACAGATGAGAAGAAAAAAATAATTGATTCATTAATTGAGGCCATGACAGAAAAGATCACTATCCTTACTATATATGGTATTGGAGGAATTGGCAAGACAACCTTTGCAAGATTGATTTACAATGATGCAAACTTCAGATTTTATTCTCAGGTGTGGGTCCATGTGTCCCCGATATTTGACTTGAAGAAGATTGGCGACTCTATAATTTCACAGCTACCTGAAAAACAGAGACAAACTAAGAAGAACCTGATTGTCTTAGATGACCTGTGGGAGGATAATCCATTTCTACTAGAGGATTTGAAAGCTATGCTAAATCTTGGTGACAGCATCAACACAATTGTTTTAGTAACTACATGCAGTGAACATGTCGCAGAGAAAATTTGTACTAACATTAAACCATACAAGATAAAACATTTGACGAATGCCATGTGCTGGGAAATAATAAAACAAAGAAGTGCCTTTGAAACTAGAGATGACAAGAAATACTTGACCAGTATAGGAAAGGACATTGCCCTGAAGTGTGGAGGTGTGGCTTTAGCAGCTCAATCTGTTGGATTCATGTTGCAGTCTATGAAATCTAGTCAATGGATGGAAGTGAAAAACAATAATATCTGGAAGGAATCTATCTCAGATGATGCCTCATTACAAAATCAAGTTCTTGCATCTTTGAAGTTAACTTATAGCTATATGGATTCATGCTTGAAGCCATGCTTTACCTACTGTGCAATGTTTCCAAAAGGTCAAAAGATACATAAAGATGATCTAATTCAACAATGGATTTCTTTGGGTTTTATCAAACCAACAAAAATACACTCCATTATGGAACTCTGTGAAAAGTATGTTGTCCGGCTCCTGGGATTGTCTTTCCTTCAACATTCTATGTCAGCCCCGGTGAGTTATTTGTGCCTACCTTTTTCTGGGATAATACAATTGATATTCTTTCTTTCCTTATAACAATTGATAAGTAATAAGTTAACTGATATAGCTTTTGATAATCATGGCAAAAACATGCTTAGTACATTGAACCACAAGAACCAAACTTGAAACTTACATGTTGTTCATAGCAATAAAATAATATGGATGGCCATCTTCCATTGTTTGCCTTAAATAGGCATCTCTTAGCAGAGAGTTTTTTGGGGTTGAGGGTACCTGTCCTTCGAGGGTGCAAGGAGCTCCTGGGATGCTGGTGGTTGGTTGTGTAAGGTGGTGGCTCACGCCAATGGCCAGTGTGGTGGGTGACAACTGGTGGGTGGTGGAGGCAACAAGGGCATATTCCTTGAGTTGCTTCAGTACGTTATTTAGGTGGTGTTTAAATCCAGAGAGTAAAGTTTAAGGATATCACATCGGGTGTCATATCAGGGTTTATATGGGAGTGTTCGGATAGTAATAATAAAACAAATTACAGAAGTTCTCAGTAATCCACGAAACGAATTTATTAAGCCTAATTAATCCTTCATTAGCATATGGTTACTGTAGCACCACATTGTTAAATCATTGACTAATTAGGCTTAAAAATTGTCTCGTAAATTAGTCTCAATTTGTGCAATTAGTTATTTTTAGTCTATATTTAATACTTCATGCATGTGTCCAAACATCCGATGTGATAGAGAGTAAACTTTAGGGGGAGGAACTAAACAAGGCCTAGTGAGTGGGAGGCTGTCTGTCATGCCCTAGCGATGTGAGATTGCTACACCACATTAGGCAATCACTGGTAGAACCGGCAGCAATAATTTTATTACGGCCTGTTCGTGGCTTCAACTGACACAATGCTGGTTCGTGGCTTCAACCAGGCAGTAATAGACATGGTACTATCACTGCTGGTTGAAGCTACAAACCGTATGTAGTGATAGCCTGTTATGTAAAAAAAGTCATAATTTTTTATATGAGGTCGGATTAAGATAAAGTTTATTTCAAAATTGTAAAATTTAAAAAGATAAAACTTTGTAGTTGACAATTTTTTAATTATAGATGATTTACATGTCCAAATATTCAATATAAGTTTTCGAATCAAATTTGAGATGGTTTACAATGTTGAATAAATACAAAGCTAGCATCAAAGTTGTAGTACTTGACGAGATCTACAACTTTGCAGTTAACAATGTTTTCATTTAGATTATTTATAGTGTCAAATATACAATATAGAAATTGTCTAGTTAAAAGAATAACATTAGTTGTATAGTCACAGGTGTTGAGTAGATCAACAGGTATGGGTGGTCTTCTATCTTTGTTGGAAGAGATTCCGACAGTGACTGGTTAGGGGGGTGCCTGACGCGATTCCATACCCTTCCACCCGGTTTTGCATGTCCACTATTACAAGAAGCTAGGATTTTATAGGTCACACCAACTTGTACTCCCCCTATTTCAAATTATAAGATATTCTGGGTTTTCTAAATTCACATAGTCTTTGCTATACACTTAGATATACACTATGTCTAGATGCATATAAAAACAATGTCACACCCAATTTTAAGGATAAAATGGGATACAAAATCTTATGTGCGCCCAGAGATCAGTTACACACATAAGCCGATAAATTATGAATAGTATCATCACAAGTGTTTATTACATCACGAATAAGACAGAGTCTTCACATAAATAAAGCGGAAGTATAAAGAAAAGATCTCTCGTGGAAGCTTCTTATCACAGGGACGTCAACTGGTTGACCACAAGACTAGTGATCCTCAGGGAAATCGTCGTTACCATAGCCATCTGTTAACCATCCGGGATTTTTATCCAGATAAAGAAAATAAACAAGCGTAAGTACATGTCGTACTCAACAAGTGTAATATGGGGTTCATGAGGTTCAAAAGACTTGACACAGGTTTAACAGCATTCAACTTTTAGTTGTCACAATTTTAGCTTAAGAGTAGCAACAAGTTGTTTCAATTCCCAATGTAAAACGCATGATCAATGTAAACATGAATAATGAATAGCATAAATAGATAATTCTTAGTGTTCATCTATTCCGTAAATGTTCCAAGGCCGCTCGTGACCGTGAGCACGGCTGATATACCAGTTTTACACTCTACAGAGGTTGTACACTTTCACTGTGAGTCGTGATACCCATATGCCCGGGTTAATTACTCCCAAAACACTTTCAAGGTGAGCAGGCAAGGGTCACTATGAAGCCTTTCAAAGGTTCATCCAATAAGTTAGGGCCATTAGATTCACTCGGCAAATAGCTATAGGAACCCCCTGTCGAATGGCACAATTCCCTCACGGCTATACACATAAGAGTAGAGGCTGTCCTATACCCGATTCATCAAGCCATTCTTACGTCAATAAAGGTAACCACTAACAAGCTAGAAAAGGTCATCATACTAAGCTAAAGCCAGAGCCATGTAGCCCTCACAGCTGTACTGTAAGTCCCGGATGATCACTTATAGATAAGTCCTTAGGGAGAGAAATCTGAAGCATTTAGAAAGTAGCTAAACACTCCAGACCCTATTTCCAAGTTACTAAAAGGTTATATTTTAATGTTTATTGCATATACCATTAGTCAAGTTACAAGATCATGGTTTAACTGAGCTCTAGAAAAGCTACCCAATGCATATCACGTAGGTGACAAGGTATAAGTTCAATTCTAGGGAATTACTATCAAGGCGACACATGCAACATGAATTTAATGTATTAAAGTAAATAGGAAACAAGGATGATCCCATGCTATACTTGCCTTGAGCAAAGTACTCCTGTTGATCCTGCTCGTCAAAATAGTACCCTTGATCTCCCACGAATTGCTCACCGTCTATACTCGATAATCACAGCAACATACAAGCATCGCGGAGCAATCATGCATAGCAAACAAAAGCTATAGATTAGAACAATACACCAACAGCATAAAATCAAGATGAAAAGTTTGGAAAATGAATCTACGTCTCGCTACGAAGACACAGACGCGAAGATCACAAAAATCGAAGCTAAAACGAAGAAGTTATGAATTAAACAAGATTTCCTATAGTAAAATAATAGGTTAAATCTAACCTTGAATTTTAAATGTTGAAAACATGCTTAACAGTAGTATGAACATGTAGTTTATAAAATTCCAAACCTAACGCAAGTTGAACGGATTAAATCGGAGTTAAAACGAGAAAGTTATGGCCTAAACAAACCTAGTGGCAAAACTGTAAATAGCTGATAACGTATTTTAGATCTAACCAAAACAAAGTACGCTTTCAAAAGAAGAAAACAAAATCGAAAAAGGCGTTTTGGACTATGGGTTAAGAACCAAATACTTGTAAGGTGGTTTTTGCAAAACTGCCGGCAAAGGGGTATCCTTGATCTGTGGCCGTCAGATTAGATTTGGATGGCCGTGATTGGATCGGGCGGGTGAGATCGGCCAGCGGCGAGGTGAATGGCGGTGGCGCCATGGCCGGACAAAGGGAGCTTGCCGGCAACGTTGGTTAAGAGGATACGGTGCTCGATTTTTCGAACGAAAAAGTTTGGGAGAGAGAGGAGAGGGTGGGAACTCACCGGAATCGAGAGAAGCGAGCGGGAAGCGACGACGGCTGCGCGGCACTCGGTGAAGCGGATAGCAACGATGGTGGTTCTGGCTAGGTGGCTGTGAGCTCACGCAGGGACGAAAATCTTGCTGCAAGGTGGGATAGGGAGGCGGCGCTGGCTCGGGCGACTATTTAAGAGGCGCAGGGACTTGGGCGGTACGGCACCATGGCATAGAGGAAGCGGACACGGACGGCATCGTCGTAGTCTTCGACTGGGACATGACGCGAGGGAGAGGATAACCCTAACCGTTGGGCCAGGGCGGTCAGCGGGACGGATGGAGGAATGCGGGCGCAGGCGATTGTCCAACTAGGCCGCCTGCTCGTTGGGCCATGCAGGGAAGGAGGATGCGCGAGCGTAGGCCCAAGCGGGAAAGAATAATGGGATGCAGGCGCGGAGAAAAGGAGAGGTAGGCCGACCTAGGTTTCGGCCCGTGCGGGAGCAGGCCTACGGCCAGATGCGGGGAAAGGGGAAAGGAGGGAAATTCATTTTTTTCAAACCATTTTCCAAACTAATTTGAATGCAAATTCAAATCATTTTGAACGGTAATTTCAAACCACACAATACAAGAAAACAATATACAGCAGCATGAATGCACATACATGATTGTAGCCTTATATTTGATTTATTTTTAATAAAATTATTATTTTCCTAAATTCAAATGCCCACAAAATGCATAATAAATCAAATTCTCCTATTTTAAAATTTATGCAAATTTTAGGGTGTTACAATTCTACCCCCCTTAAAATGAATCTCGTCCTCGAGATTCGGACAATGCTTACTCAAATAATTGTGGGTATGTTTTCCTTAGATCCTTATCTCGTTTCCAAGTAGCCTCATCTTTTGTATACCGAATCCACTGAATCTTACACATCTTTATAACTCGGCTCCTTGTAATTCTTTCTGCCGTCTCCAAAATCCTTACCAGAAACTCCTCATATGTGAGATCTTCCTTAACTGTAAGCTCTTCTAACGGTATATGCTACTCGGGTACGCGTAAACACTTCTTTAACTGGGACACATGGAACACATCATGTACACCTGACAAACTCTCAGGCAATTCCAACTGATAAGCTACTTCACCATGTCTCTCTAAAATCTTGAAAGGCCCAATATACCTTGGTGCTAACTTCCCTTTCATGTTAAACCTTCTCACACTTCTTATAGGTGACACCTTCAAGTAAACATAATCCCCTACTTCGAAAACCAATTCTCTTCTCCTAGTGTCGGCATAACTCTTCTGTCGAGACTGAGTCACTCTCAAGTTATCTCTAATTATCCTTACTTGCTCTTCTGCGTCTCTTAAAACATCTGGTCCGAACACTTGAGTTTCTCCCGTTTGATTCCAAAACAATGGGGTTCTACACTTTCGTCCATACAAAGCTTCGAAAGGT